GGTGCGTTACAAAACACAATAATTCCGCTAATATTTATTGTTCCGTAAAAATTCGAAAGACGACTATATTACAAATAATTTCGAATAAATAAGAACCCACACAGAGAAAAACAACGTGAAGTTGATTGATAGAAACTCAAGAAATGTATGAGAAGGACAACTTATTTGCTCATCAAACATCGTGTTGCGACCAAGAGGTGAACTGTATTATTTCTGAATATGAAACTCAATAAATATATTATGCTGGTTCAACCAGCTGCTGTGTTCGATATATTCTATGTATTTGTTGTGCTTCTCATGCGGCTTTCTGGATCAGATCCACAGCTCTGTAAACCTCCGATGGGTTCATGTCTTCGTGGACATAGTGGTAGCGACCATTCTGAAATAGTGCACAGTATTAATGGTTACCGATGGGCTGTCACTTAAAGGCACATTCCGCGATCAACTGAGTGACACAACCTATGTGGTTGTGAGAAAGACCGATGCTTAAGCACAAACACCTTAGATTTTTAACGGCCCTTAGGTGCGCGGCAAGTGCCTCTTCTGCTCGAGATCCTTGCTCAGTCCGCAGCAATTGGCTTGAAAATGTACGTTGCTAATGACTGCGACTACTTTGCCCCAGTGCTATCTCAACCACTCCATCAATGTATACTCGGTGCAATGCCTCATATCAGTTAAAAAGGTGACGGTATTTTTGGTGTTCCTTCAAATTTTTTCTTCACTGATGACTAAAGCTTCATGTTCGAACCCCCATAACTGTATCCTATCATCATGTAATGTGACTTTGATGATATCACTTACCGGCTTGAAGTCGTGTACAGTGTGGCCGTCTCCGCGTAGCACCCATTTTGTTGTGAGGAGTCCTTCAACTCCAACTGGCCCTCTGGCATGTATTCGCCCAGTAGAAATACCAACTTCGGCACCTTAACACGTGTTTTTTAAAATGTAGGCACTCGAGGTACTGTGTAATTGATAAGCCGCGTTTTGTTGTTCGTACGCGGCGAACTCGAAGCCGTGACGGCATCGGATTGCTGCGAGTGGAAGTAATGCTCGCAGTGATAAGAGCAGAGAAAAAGAGAGAGCTGACGCCAATTGTGAGGGAGTCAGCTTTGAGAACGGAACCCGACAACACGGGTCTGAGTAGGTTGACTTGCGATCGATGTGGAAGTAACATTTGTAGCCAAAGGGTATAGCAAGTTTGCTTAGGTTTCATCGCAAGTCGCACATTCTGACGTGACTCACCGCGCAAAAAATTCATGACAAGTCAATCTTATCGCCATAGGGGTGCGACGAATTCCCCAATTTTTCCACTGGCGATGACCGTCACATTCTCCACGCCCACTAGTCTCTGACTGGCTGGCTCGTGTCTGCACGCAGTAACCTTTGTGGTGGTAGCCAATCACGGACGAGTGGGCGTGTCGGCAGCATATGCTGCCGACACTGCTGCGGCCCGTAACTCGGTGGTTTCTCCTGCACGATTCTCTGAGTTGTGCCAGTTCCAGAGAGTTTACGATCACCTCTGGAGGGAATCCCCATATCACACCGTTCAGTGGATGGTGTTTATAGTATCGTGTCGCTGAACCTCACTTGACACAATTCCACCCCCAAAATTCCTCCTAAATTGGTGTCTGAGTGCTATATACTGCTCCTGAAATAGCATCTTCAACACATCTCCCTTCATTTCAGCATTGCTGCCACCACCACGGCCCCGAATACGCTGTGGAAAAGATGATGCGAGGAGCTTTCCAGTACACGAAAGTGTGGAGGGAAATTACGGTTTCGAAGTCCGTCATTGCTATCGACGATCAGGGATTCTCGTCAAGGAATGGAAGATCAGGAAGGGCCGACACGTCATGCGATTTTGTAGTGACCTGTTATACCAATAATGCGGTTTTTAAGTGGATCCCTTGGGACGTCAAACGAACACCAGAACGACCGTTGATTCGATGGTCCGAGCTCTACACTGAAGCTCTGGTTGAAAGACATGAATTCGGCATCCTTCAGCAAAATAGGTTCAGTCTTTCGAATATTTACAGTTAAATCAAGTAAGGTTAGGTTAGTAATAGTAAGGTTCGTTTAAATCAAGTAAGAATAGAAGTGCCATACCGAGTCCGAATCGATATCCATCTGCAAACCGAGTTGATGCATTGTGGAAAGTACATGCGCTGTCTACTTTCTTGATAAAGTGTTCAGCTGTGTGGTCTGAACAAATGTAAAAAATTAGTATATTTTCGGAAAAATTCAACTCACTCCAACCATTAGATGAACAACGACCACTGGTCATCTGATGCTCTTGCCTGTTCTAATTTGACGCATTATCTACAGCATGACGCGCATGCGCGTCAGATTTCCACGCGAATAAGCACGGTTTTGCTTGGCTCGATTGGTATTTTTCAGGTCAAAAAAAGCTTTCGGAAATGAAATAGCCTTACCATTAGTGGTGACGATGGTGTCCGTGTGTCCAGATCCATAACGAATTATATGTCCAATCGCTTCTTCAACATTATCGACCACCTGTAAGCTCATGACCATTTTCAATACTTATTACTACTTTTATTTCCCCATAATAATAAAGGAAAATGGGTATTACGCTTGCTGCTCTATGAATCTGTACTGTGATAGTTCATAGAGTCTAATCTTGCTGCTTCAACATGGCTCAGATCCAATATACAAAGATGGAGCATGGCGCTAGCATTGTTAGGGGAGACATTCGAGTGGGTGAGCCACCTCCAGTAATATGAACTAAGCCTTAGAAAGGGGAAGGGATTCTGTAGGAGTATGTGCTTCCCATTCCTGGGCTTAGTGCTAGTGTCACCCTAGCGGTGTAAATGCCTTTTTGAAATGTCTTCCTGCCCATCCCCCCCCCGGCACTTGCCCTCACCCTCGAAAGCTCTGATGCGTGATCTGTCAACATGATTGAGTCACTTTGCATTATAGGTCATAGAACGATGGCGAGACATCGCTGGCAAGATTAAACGGTCAGAAAACTTTAGGTCTTGTGAGATCTATTCTTTGCTCCTCCGCATGGCGTTAGCCCTTCATAGCCAGATAACTAAGGACTCCCAGAAAAAAACTTTGCCACAGTAAGTGCTCGCAACGACTCCTCAAACCCTTGAATTGGCCCCATTCCCCCTGGCTCACGCATTCTAACTTACTACCAGGTTCCCTCCACACCAAAAGGATTGGATGTCATACAACCAGGAAAAGTGGATGGCTACCGTAACCCGCGTTGGCACTGGGAGCAGTTGGAGCCTCACAGGCGTCAGCGCAATGCTAGGTGGGCGAGAAGGGTGCCAGAGACGAGGACGTTTGAAGAAAATTGGGCATACGACCCCCCCCCAGCACCCGTCCGTACGACCATGAAACAACCTCTTCAAAAGCCGAACTATGAAAAGGTTGAAAAGCTTGTTTAATTCTCCCCCAAAACTGCTCATAAAAAAGCCCTGCTACCCCACCGCCCACAAAAAAATTCGTTTAAGAAGTACAAAAGTGAAAAAGTCAAAGAATAATCATTATTGATGAGTCCTACCAAACGAGCAAACGAGAAACAGACCAGAAAACGACAAACTAGCCACTAAAAATGGCATACCTATGACAACATCTGTTCTTTATTTTTTCCTCCACAAGACTTACCAAATTCTAGTACTACACAGATTGTGGTTCTCAATTTGCACGTAGCCCTTCAGTTGAAAGAAAGCTTTTAACCGCCTTCGCCAACTGAGTGTTGACTGGACTTTGGCGTTGACCGTGGAGCAGCTTATTTACTATTGAAATTTGAACAAATATTCAAATGATTATAACTTTCTTCAAATATGACGAATTTTCAATCTGAAAGCTGATTTGGGAGTTTTGTGAAGAGCTTTTTCTAATCAGTACTGAAATTACAGGAAGTTATAAGAAATAACAAATTTAGATCAAATAACGAGGAAAATTCGAGACGAGCACGAGTTTTTACACTTTCCGAAGCAACAACTTGCTTCATTTTCGTCAAATTCGAAAAGTTAATATGGCAGACAAAACTAGAAGATTTTCTCTACCAAACCATTGCTAAAGCAGCTCTATACGTCCAGTATTCGAAAAATGGCCACGTTGAGGATTTTTCGCAAAATTAACGAGGAAAATTTGTGATGAGTGCGAGTTTTTTTACTTCCTAAAGCCATAACTCCGTTCAAACTCATCCAACAATCCAAAAGTAAATACGCCATCATAAACTAGAAGATTTGCTCTATCAAATGCTTACTAGAACTGCTCCAAACGTCCAGTATTAAAAAAACGGCTACGTTGAGGATTTTCGCACGAGTACCGCCGAAAGGTTTTTCGCTACATTGGCACTATTTCAACGGCTGTATATCCTTTTAAGGGCGTATGTACTAAAGTAAGAGCAGATTTGGAATTATTGCTTTCTCTTTCTAAGAAAAGTGTGATTAAGGTTCTCATTTAAAAGGTTAATTTTTTAATAAATTAACCTCTGAAATCCGTAACCGATGTTGAATGTACACCTCCCTGTAAATGCGCACGGACACTTTCAGAATTCTCTCGATTGTTCCTGAATTGAGGTTGTTTGTCCAAGGAGCCGTAGTTGAAGTGCGCGCAACAACTAGACCCTTTCTCGGATGCGCCGTGTACCTCACATCCCTTCAGATTCGGGGTCTTACTTGAAAGATGAAATATCTCTTGGAAAGCGTGCGAAATTCAGATTCTTTAACTTGTGTGGTGATAAAACACTGAAGTAACTAAGAATTACCGGACGCCTCAGAATCACGAAAATTTTGTGTGGGTGAAATATCATTTTCATTGGAAATCCTCTGGCCTGGCATCGACTCATCCTTGATATTTGTCTTCTCGACGGTGATGATCCCACTGCATCAAAATGGCTCGATCTCTTCCACCCAGCGGGCCGATACGACCCCCCCCCCTGCGACGTGTCGAGGATTCCTCAACGCACGCTTGACCCTTGAGGTGCGAGCGGACAGCAATATGAGTTACTCGCGCCTCTCTCAGGGCAGCATCGTCACGACTTCGCAACGCTGGCGCGGATGCGACCGCAAACAACGCTCGCGAGAGCAGTCCGACACGAGCGTCGCCATCTCCACAACTACATTAAAAGGCGTCGTATAGTTGAGTAGATTGCTCGACGCATTCCGTGAGAGAGACGCAGAGTAACAACTGGCTGGAGCGAAGACGCAGAAATTTTGCTGCGCGTGTAATTGCCGCTCAGTGTAACGCCGCTACGTGAAGTTAAGTATAGCCGCCTACCCCAGGGTTATGATTTCTATCATCTGCTCAGCCGCGAGTGTTTTTTGGTGAGTTACCATGCCAGGCGCCCTGACAAGGAATTGCGCAACATTTTGCGTGAGTGGATCGTATAACGTATTTGGTAAACAATCAATGCTCACGTGTAGACGTTGCGGCTTAGATCAGATGATGCGTGGGCGTGCACTGGCCTACCGCGCCAAGACGGAGCCTCAATGTCGTCGAGGTCAACCCTTCGGTGCCAACTACGCTTCAGTCCGCGTCCTTCAGGAGGTCCACGGGTCCCTACAACTAGGTGAATTACTCCTTCTTCGACTTTCATTCTAATCGTGAATTCGTCTTTAGCGCGTGTGATTTGTTACCAGTGAACCAAGCAGTGTCCCTATTTCAGTTTTTGTTCCGCTATTGCAGCATTTTGGAATAAGAACGAACTTCCCTTCAAGCAGAGAACTCACTTCCAGTGTGCACTCTAAACAGCCGTATTCAAACTTCAGTTTTTCAGCTGGTGGAGGACCGAATTTCAGCATAGACTGTAGTTTTGGCCCAGCATGCAACTTGACCCCTTCTGCCTGAAACTCGAAGATTGCGCGTGAGAAGCGGGATGGAATTGACACAGCAGTATTAGTGAAATGAAGGAAAACCAAAAAGATGGGCAAAATTGTTCCAGGGGCCTGATACCTTGAACATCACACATAGTTGATCGAAGAAAGAAGGAGCTCAAGAAGATCCTTGTGAATGAGAATCGTTTCAGCTGCGTTGCAGGCTGATGGATAGTCGCATTTCGAATCACGTACAATATCAATGGCCATCTGAAATCAGCTGAGGTTTTGTTAACCGAAATCTCTCATGTTGGCGAAATTTGAATGATGCGTTCTCAACGCAAGCGCAATGGTCATACGCCTCAGGGTACCCGACAGGAGGCCCGTCGCGCGGCAAGAAGGCAGAGTCAGCGGACGAGTCGCAGCGCGTGATGTGCGATGTAGGACGTGCAATGGTACATTCTATTTAACTTGACGCGAAATCACTACAGTACGCGCTGCGACTCGTCCGCTGACTTGCCTTTTTGCCGCGCGCGGGCCCAGGGTCAACCGTCCGTTCGAACTGTTCGAACGAAGGGGTCGCATTTTGGTCGGAAGGGGGTCGCAATTTCGAGGACTGCCAGCCACAGGCGCGTGCGTGGCGTATCCGAGGGCAAGACTTGCTTGTGCAGACCGCATTAGATTCGATTTATTATGCACAGAGAGACAGTTTTAGGCAAATTACAGTGTTTTCTTGAGGAATAAAGAACAGTTGAATGCATCCCTATGAAAGGTTTGACTTCTCGGGGCTGAAATTAAAGTTCTTCGGGACCTAATTTTCTGAGGACGATTCTTCCAGACAACGGTAAAACACATAAGAAAGCAGAAATCTCGTAGTCTTCAAAAATGTCTTCGCCCCTCCCCAACAAGTTCTTTGAAGGAAGTTATTATTGCTGAAAGCTCAAAAACTCGCATGTGCTGCTCAAAAACCTATGGGAACAAAATGTTCGAACGTGTGATTTTCTCGGAAAATGGATTTTGAAAAACGGTTTGGTGCTTGTCAGAAAGAGCAAATCCTGTACTTTCACCCCATGAAAAAAGTGCATCTCAGAATGAAATGAAGTGAAGTTATGGTGCCCGCTTAAAGCCCAAAAACTCGCGATTTCAAAAAAAGTGTTCGGCAAAACCCCCCAAAATGTTCGAACGTGTGATTTTCTCGAAAATGAACTTTGAAAAACGGTTTAGGGCTTGTTAGAAAGAGCAAATCCTGTACTTTCACCCCATGAAAAAGTGCATCACAGAAATGAAAATGAAGTGAGTTATGGTCGCTGAAAGCCCAAAAACTCGCTTTTGCACGAAAAATGTTCGAACGGGACAATTTTTTGAAAAAGGGGACAATCACTAAACTTTTTATACTTTTTAGAGGAATATTTGAAGTTTCTGAAACTTTTTACAGATTTCCAAAATGTGCATACGAAGCTTTGGCTCAACGTTGAAGGTTGCGCTCTTAGAATTTGGTTCATTATAAGAGTGCTTTCGGAGAGTTAGGAACCTAGCGTTTTCCTGGAATGCGACCGTAGCAGTCCCAAATCTCTCACAGTCCAAGTACGTACCCAGAAAGTTATTCCCCTCTAAATTTTTTCTTCGCCGCGTCCCGTTCTTCCAGCGCCCGGGTGATACCTGCCGCGCTCCAAGGCTGACGCCGCAATGCAGACGCTTTCTGGCGCAACGGATTCATGTCTAGCACTTTATTAACAAAACAGGGGGTCGCAACTGGACCCCCTTCGAGAGCTAGGTGGTCGCAAAAATCCCGAAAATGTTCGAACTTACGTTGCCCCACTGCGCGGCCTCTGTAATTGGCCTTGCCTTATCCTTCCGTGAATGGGAGGTTTGGTTTGAGATCACGAAAAGAATTCGGAAGTTCGGCATATTGTTAGCTTATGCATTTCACATTCACATTGAAAAATCTAGAAAGCGAATGGTGCGGCGGTCCTGTAATTGGGGAGCGGTGGCGGTCTCAGCCTCCAGTTGGGAATAAGTGTGAATAGGGGGTTGGCACGTTTGCTACCCCAATGTTTTCCTATTTCAGAGAATGAGAACGCGCGGTGCAGACGGTTACCACAGTGCGACCGGTAGCACGAAAGAGAGGATTTTCTTTTATTTTTTGGCCGTCGTTTATTGTGGTGGTGTGTCTGCATAAGCTTTGTTTCTGAGTTTAAGGTAAGCGGTGTAGCAAAGTTGTATGTTCAGGGATGTTCCACCGAACAAGAAAGCCCAGCTTCGCATAAATATGATTTTACTGTGTGTTCATATGTAGTTTTACTCCGCGTTCCGCTTTTCCTGTGACCCAAAGTCGAAGTGAGCCTGACGCGAAGCGTTTGCTGTCCAAATCTACCTACCTGTTCATCCAATTCCTTGTCAAGGTAAACGTGACAAATTCCTTCAGCGTGTCCTAGTACGGGGATCCCTTTGCTTTTCTCCTGCATTGATCGTACTAAATCGGATGATCCACGAGGAATCACAAGATCAATCAGACCCTGAAATGAATATTTCTTGAAGAGATCCCTTGACTTCTTCTCTTATAATGCCGTTCAGTGTCTAATAAAAGACTGAATGGCAATGGGTATGTGCTCAATTACGATTGCTACACAAGGGGAGCATAGAATCAAAGCTAATAATAGTCGCTTTAAACGTGACTGCTGCTCCGTTTCTCTTCGAAAGGTCGAGAGTGCATGCGAACGTATGGGAGCATGAGAGAGTGACTCGAACTGCATAAGTCGAAGATCATGTGTTCACATAAAGCGCTTTCAAATCAGCTGGAATCCCATTCGTCGAGATGTACGTCGTCTAACGATGGCTGAGCGATTATCATGAAGCAGCTGTATGGTAGTGCTATGCGGCTACTATGTAGAAGTAAATTGCCCATCGAAAGGTTTACCTTGAGTTGAAGAAGTTCGGCGACGTCTTCTCGGCTTCGTACCAATGTCACAGCGTCACGCATTTCGTAGCCATGAGTGCCAAGAGCTTCCTAGGAATTATTTTTCGAATATTCGTTTGTTTAATGGAGATCTTGGAATCTTTGGGCCTCTTTGTAAGAATTTCTGATTTGGCTACTTTTCTCACGTCCCCCAGTAACTCTTAGCTGAGGGAGCGCCTTAAAGCAACCACTAGGCTCGGATGGAATGCACTTCATACCTGAACAATACTGTGGAGCATTCGGTTACTTTCTTCAGCTTCTTTACCGCCTTTGAGAAGAAGGGAGTTGCCAGATGCCATTGCCAACGATGCGACCGGAAATAATGAATATGACTGAATAAAATGGATCTTTTCTGAGCGAAGATAAAGAAAAAGTGCCGCCATAAGAAATTGTGCAACGAAACTCGATTCGTCTGTCTCAAAGGATATTCAAGAAAATGCTTGGATTTTTGAGCACAAGTGAGTGAGCAAGCGTGGGAGTTAAAGTAATTTTTAAGGAAAGCATCCTCTGCAAGCGAAAAACGTACCTGTGGCAAACAATCGGGACGCGATTCGAAAATGACCATTAGCGAGCCAATCGGCACTGTGACCTGCTCCAGATACAGGTTTTCACTGATTTTAGTCTGGAAAAATTAAATTATAGTTAGTCGAGAATTAAATGTGTTATCCTTCGTTTTATCGAGCTTTGTAAGAGAGCCTAGCCTGAATAATGTACTCGCAAAAGGAGAAGATGCTATCATCGAAAAATGCTACTATCAGGTAGAGCAATAATTATCCGCTGTTTTTTAAGCTCATGGTCTTTGATTTTTTGCTGATTATTTTCAAAGATTATGATGTAGTCTGAAAGCGCTCAATCTCTTGTACATTTTGATGTACAACACTTGTGTATTTACTTCACTATGGAGCTTACACACTAGCAAAAAGATTGCCCTGCTACATGAGTGCAAGTTGAGCTCGAAACCGAATGCTTCTGCATCTGCTCGTAGAATCAATGAAGCCTGGGATGAAGGCACGGTTGCAGAGAGGACTGTTCGAGAGCGTTTGTTGATTACGCATTTATTGTTGTTTTTGTTTGGTTTTGTTAATAAACTATGAGTGAAATGAAAACGGCGGATAATTTCTGCTCAACCAAGTATTTTCTGGTGAAAGTGACAGCACAGACCCTTCGCAAGCATCGTCCAACAAGAGTTTCAGCCGAATCTGCGATTGTGTTCAAGCCACTGTGGAGGTCCATAATTTTAGCCTTAGTCATTTGTAGGCGATTTAAGAGTTGGACATCAATACCTGAATACTGGACAATGTATCTTTTGAATAATTTTGCTCCTCAAAAATCTCTGATGAGTTAGGGGAACGATAAAAACTTCTTTTTACACGGCTTCAGAAGCCTCATTCTGTGCCACCTAGCTACCTCAGAATAAGGTGTTCGCCCACGTTTATGAAGAACGCAGAATGCATGCCAGCAAAATGCCTGATCGCTCGAAACGGACATCTTTATCCACCGGTTAGAGCCACTTGAACGGACGCAGTCAACCAGAGAATTGGTTAAAAACACGGGTCGGGATTGAACTTGTGGGTTTGCTTGTCAGGATATCAGACAAAAAGTGCAAGAGAACCTCTAGTGGAGAAAAAACCAAAAGCCATCACTGAAAGCAATTAAATTTCTCTTGTGAGTTCGCCCGCGGTTCGACGGAGGGGCACGGCGCTGCGAGGCGAGGAAAGACTTGAGAGGGCTCGTTGTATGCGAGAGGGCGCAGAGGTTCATGAGCTGCAAGTGACATGCGTGGCAGCGGTTGCAGCGGTGAAGTGAAGGCATTAGACCTCTGTCGCGCAATCACAAGTCGCAACAGTACTACCACACCTGTCAATAGTTGTCATGTTACCTCGGTCGATGAGAAATTTCTCTAAGAATCCAACCGTGACCCGTGCCTTTTAGTACAACAGAGAAAGAAGTTGCCAAAAAGATAAATGCACAAGAGTGAGGCTTACAAGTAAATACTTTCACTAGTAGTACTCACCGACGACGACTGAAAGTCAAATCAGCTCATCCCGATTGACGTTCAGCCCCCTTCCCCTATGACCTGACGTTTTTCCTCTCAAAATTCGATGTAGAGTAGAAGAGGGTGGGCCAGAATCGCTTTAGAGCGAGTGCCCTGCATCCCTTAAAGGCAAAAGTCGGGCTCAATAAGGGGGTATTATGGCGATTGAAACTGAGTATAGAGATGCGAAGTGGAACGACAGTGGAGAAAAAACTGAGAAAAACCGTCGACAAGGCCGTTAACAAAACCCTCTTTCCCACTAGCAGTGAAGGAGGCTGGCTTGGGAAAGAGGCACGTACAAACAAGTTTTCTGGAGATGTCAGTCGTTCTATCGGTTGATACGGCAATCAACCTAGCTGATTTCACACGTTATGCCAGCCACGCACCACTTCCGGAGGTGGGCGGTCCCGGATTGACGAGGCGGTCCCGGATTCCCGGATTGAAACCGACGCCCCGGGGGCTTAACGACGTTTTTCAAGGTGGGAAGTTGCTGCAATGTGTGCAGCTACCCACATACAACCTCCAGGCACGGGTACTGAGCCCGACCTTTGCCTTTAACGAGACAAAGTCATTCTTACTAAGGAACTCACCGTTATTTTGAGCGTGATTCAGGTCAGCTCGATTGGCGTCCATTATATCATCTTCTCTTTGTACGAGTAGATGAGCAAGATGTCTAACCATTGCGGCCCTCTCTGCGTTCGTTAGAGAGGCCAATTTACGGCCGGAGTCACGACCTGAAAATCAAAAGTGCGCTTACCTCCTTTGCTACTCGTTTTACAATCCGACTAATACTTATTTACTAAGACATCATAGGTTGGTAAGGAAAAGCGCTGGCTACCGTTCTTGAAACCGTTTTGTATTCTTTTGTTCTGCAAGTTTCTGTCAATAGTGAGGGCAGTTTCTGTCGAATATGGAGCACTATTCCTACTATAATATTTCCCAGAGACTTTCATGCGACTCCTCAACACCTAAGGGAATTTCCGCCAACACATCCACTTCTGCCCGATGGAGTCCACCACCTGAGTGTTCCCAAAATACTTTATTCTTGTACAAGATGGTGCACACCCCAACTCCGCACATTTCGATGACAAACGTACAGCCGTTCTCTTGTTTACTGATCGGCCAAAATATCTATAGGAGGACTGATAAAGAGGGCTGAGCCGGTGAGCTCTAGGTCGACTAAACCAGGGAAGGATGATGGGTCGAAGTGCTATATGCAACGAGACATTCACCCTTGGATGTGTTTTAGACGATGACCTCGAAACTGCTTCTAATAAATTTTCTGAACGGAGTTATGAAGCAGAATAGAGCAGCGATGCTAGTGCGGGCACACAGGCGAGAGGACGTTGGATCGACTCCTTGACGGGTTCTTTCTTCTGGAGAAACATGGGTAGCAAAGGCTCTGTTTCATCCCAACTCAGCTTCTCATGAATACCTACCATAACCCAGATACATGTGAAACGTTCGCAAGGCATCCTGTGGCCAATACAGCTGTTGACAAACAAAAACAAGTCAAAATTCATCGCTAAAGCTTTCAGCCTCGCTCAAAATTCACCGTTGAAGCTTTCAGCCTCGCGGTAATTAACCGGCTCAACACGTTATACGTGTGAGTGCTGAAAGCTATGGTACGTATACCATGAAAAGCTGAGTTGGAATGAAATGGTGCCCCGGTAGCGTAACTGGTAGCGCACTTGCCCGGAAAGCGAGAGGTGCGGGTTCTAGTCCCGCCTGGGGCGAAAGTTTGTTAAGCTAACAGCCAGGACTTACATTTGCTTGCCATCTCTTCAACTGGCGGTCCTTCATAGCTGTGAGTCCGACAGAACATGGTACCAATTTTCTTGCCTTTTACGGCATCAGTGATAGCGTCAGTCGACAAACCGTTTGTGATCACCGTTGTAACGCCGTTGTCCAAGGCTTTCACACAAGCATTCACCTGGATTAAATTACATATTATACACTGCTGCCGGGTTTCACAAAAACTTCTGTTTCATGAGAAGGCTCAGGGTTTCTAGATGAATGCGAATTACGAGAGTATTCCTCTGAGGATATGATACAATTCAGAATGCTGCGTCAAACACTTCGTCCTAGGCGGGATTCGAACTCGCGCCTCGTTTTTTCAAATAAGTGTGCTATAAGTTACACTTATGGGGCATCTTCCTTAACTGAACTTTTATTGGCATGTTAACCATAAACATTAACGTTTATAAACGCTCAACACATACATCGTGATGAGGATGTGAGAATATTCCCATGGTGAACTGTGGCCAAAGACGCACTTAAAAATCAAAAAGAGGTTGGTATCTTGAGAAAATGTGCTGAAGGCAACTCGCATCGCACACCTCTAAGAATCTGTTGAGAGCTCTTGCTCGGACTATTCACTTAGTTAGCAGCACAAAAGAAGCTACTTAAGTCTCCATCACGAAATTCGGTGCTCGGTGCTAAATGAGTCGGGGGGGGGGGACCACGCGAAGGCATAACGTCCGTCAAGCTCTATGGCGGGGGCTTTTGAGCCTCTTTCCTACGCCTGAGCCTAGGAAGGAGGCCCAAAGGTGCTAAAAGTTGATTCTCGAAATTACATATCATACTGTTCGCACCCTAATCACTCCTTCTTCGGCTCGGGCTTAGTGCCATCGTGCTTGAGATACCACGCCCCGCGTTTTCTCCCAATCCTCTTGGAAGCCCATATTCGCACATCCAACTTCCCGCACGATAAGTGGCTAACTGGCCCAAATCTGAACCGGCCGCATTCTAGCTTACGGATCTACCGTTGCACAATGGATACTATCACTGTCTGAGAGGTCACAGAGAAGCGGACATCCCATCTCGGCAGCGGTACGATTTTGAGATTGATCACAGAAGTTCAAAAACACGATAGCGTAGACTTATCGAGAAAATGCTCAGATGTTGTTTGCGGTGTTACGAGCCGATTTGAGGGAGGGGTTTGATCTCATTCAGGGAATTAGGCTCTTGATAGTCAAATTTAGAAGAACTGCGCAGACAGCACGAAGTGTTCAATTAAGTGAATAGAAGTTCTGGTAAAGTAAGTCGAGTGTTGAGGAAACTTGTAATTTTTCGTTCACCGTATGAAGCGTTCACAGTAGATTTTCAGCTAAACACTGAAGACAGCGCGAACTGCGTCAACCACGATTCTGACAGTGCATCTGTCGCGACTCGATGTCAAATTACACTTCCCCGCTCCGCCGAAATGTGGTTTGCTAGCGGTACACGTTAAAGGCAAGGTTCGGCTCAGACCCACTTGATTAGCCTTTACGGTGGCAGAAGCGCTAAGGTACGCAAGTGTAGAGGTCGCGTCACTTCCCTACTTCGAAAGCGTTATTTAGACGCTAGGCGCTAAGAACTTTGACACGCTCCACCTGCTGCGACACGCTCCGCCCACCGCTCGATATCTTGTCTGCGTCGCTAACTTGATCTGCTATGCTCTCTACTCGTACTTCTCTAGCGCTCTCCGCGCTCACATTATCTCTCATCTCCCTGCCGGCCTTTTGAACTTCTCCGCAGCGTAGAGCAAAAGGCTCGTATTTCCTGTGCATTTCACGATTTTTTTTTCTTTTTTCTCCACTGGCGGTCCACTTCCTACCCCTACCTTCACATTTGAGTGGAATTACCTCATGATTTATTCCTGAATCTCATTAACGTCAAAGCACAAATATCCAATACCTTGCTCTCCATTCCACCTGTTCCAAATTTGCTGTTTGCTCCAAATACGACTCCCGCATCTTCAGATGGGACGAATGTGTGAAGAAGACGCGATCCTTCCATATCAGGAGGTCCTGAATATAACTTTTAGATTCTAAATAGTGAGCCTCGAAAACGAAGTCTCATGGAAGATTACTGAACTTACCTGTGTATACTCCATTGACGTTTGAGAGGATGATGAGAAGCTCAGCCTCTATCTCAGCCGACAATCGCGCGGCCAGCGAGTCGTTGTCAGATATATGCTAGAATATGATATGTTCATACGCTTATTCCTATCCACAGAACTTCTATTGCGACAGTAGCTCTTGCTGGTGAATCGGCCTCTAAGCTGTGCTGTTGTGCAGTTTCATCATTCATATCGAGTGAAAGGAGAGGGTAGCGATCAGATTTTCGTAGAGGACAATGGGGTACTCAAACCTTATGCCTGCACTGGCCAGTGAAGTGAAAAATTCCGTTTCAATCAACCTTATTGAGATACATCACACCGCTGAAGCACAGGTTAGTGTTCTGAGTCTTCTAGAGGGAGCTGATTGCGCTGCCACGGAAGTTTTGTTGGTTTGGGCGAAGTTTGATATGAATCAGCGCGGAGTGCGTGAAGTGAGCATGATCTGAGGGTGCATCTGTCATGATCTGATGTCAGATCACTTTTGGTGCGACACTGTGTACTTGTCTCTGGACTACCAAGGCACTCCTGAGTCGGTTACACGGGTGGAAGCTTAGAGGTGGTAGGAGAAAAACACTTAAGTACACGTTGACTGGCCCTGAAAATCTCTTTGTGAGCTGAATATAACTTACTTTCCCTAGACCTCGATCTTACTCAGACTATGTTTGTAAAGTGAAAGGGCAAACATAAAGGAAGACTCTTCAACTATTCTTGAGCTTAGAGAGAAAGCCTTTGTGAGACCTCTAATCTCACCTTAACATCGTATGACCTCCGTCATTGATCATGGTGCTGAAAAAGGGAATAGTGGGGAGCTTCAATAGCCAAGCAAGAATCGCGCGGGACCTCTGCAAAAAATCATCAACATAGACTAGTGGAAGCAAAGTATCTTTCTATTCCGAATGGGGATGCCAACCGCACATATTCGCAATTCTGAAGAATAGCAAAATAAGTTATTAAGAAGTCTAGCAAAATAAGTTATTACATATTTCGCTTCTTGTTAACAACAACTTTGCGTTATAGGACAGATAAAAGACTGCGATCGCAGCGGCGAGTGCGATAGAGCGCCGAAATGCAAACCAGAAGGAAACGACGACACGCTCAATGACGGTTCTGGCATAGTGGGCGCGTCGTTATTGGGCTGTGGTCTGAGGCGACGTCAGAGTCGCGCCACGCCCTACTCGCTACCGCGAACGCGATGCGATCTCGAAGTATGGCACCTTCGCAATAGTCAGTAGCCGTATAGCATTGCCGTGCGCGGCAAGCGGCGCTTTGCAGGGCAAACGGAGGGTCGTAACCAGGGTCAACCGTCCGTTGGACAAAGTCCAACGCGACGACGAGAGTAATGCCGAGAGTGAACGTACGCACGGAGACACAGACGGCTCGCGGGTGGCGAGAGTGAATGCCGGCGCGGAGAGCGGTGAACATCGGTCCAACGTCGCTCCAATATCGGTCCAACGTAACGGTTGACCCTGGTCGTAACTGCATGCTGCCATCATATCGTGAGGCTGCATTCGTGGTACTTATATCGGGAAATTTGGGAGATTCAACTAACCGTAGGGAATGTTTGTATGTCGGTCAAGAGAAACGAACGTACACTGAAGGCCCTATAGAGTAGAGCGGATTAATCAACTTGAACGCTATTGTTTCAGCTGAGCTACCATATCTCCCAACTTCCGAAGGCTTGTCATCAAACTTTCAGTAAACATTACTTTCATTGTACTTGTCCTGTCCCCAAATGGTACTGGGTTGTCCCATAATTAGTGAATCACTTCAAAAATCCAAGAAAAATGGTGAAGGCGTGAAACATGTTTTGCGAAGTAGCATCCACATTATCCTACCTGAGCAATTACTCAGCCCATTTACATGCTGCCTTCCGTGGCTGATACTTCAATTTTTCTGGAACCTATTTTTGAGCTCCCTTCTTAATCACTTCTGATTAGGATCTTTCAAACGCCCAACAACATAGAGATCAACCAGCAGATAGGCGAGGGCACGCTCCCTCAATCCACGGTCTGCTTGTAGTTCACTCTATCGAGAGGTTGGCTTTTTTAGTTGAAGATGACCCACACTCCAACTACCCCTCAACTGGCAATCTCACTGCTGTACCCAGCGCCACTGAGGGTGGATCTGGACAAACTAGTCGCCATTTGCTAGAGCATGTCCGACTTGTTAAAATGATGGAATGTAGACATCTACGTAGAGTTGTAAAGATTTTAAAATATTTAGTTTGTATCTTGTATGCTCTGAGCCCGAAACAGCTCCACACACGATCTGACATCATCATGTTCCTTCTGATCTCCCTTAGTTCCTTACAGTGATCATCATATTCACCAGGGTTCTGGACTGGGTGAAGTGTACTAGCAAATCTCCAAGGAGCAGTAGCCTAGCATGAACGATTCGGGAGTTCTGACAGCAAAAGCCAAACCTCCTTCTGAGTCCGACCCTTCCGAGATATTGGTGGAGCACGAGAGTGACCATGCGCTGGGAACCGCCGCCCAGTAATACTAGGGTCACTGAAGAAGATCAACATCTACAGCGTAATGGCGACGCGTTCAATTTGAAAGTAAAGCAAGACAAAGTCTGCTTTTTTCCTGAGGTCGTTCGACCCCACCTTGCGGAGAATATTCATAAAAAATTGGAGACTCCAGGCTAGCAGTTCTTTCACTTCCTCTGTGTGGCCCTATCCTCGTGCCAACAAAGACAACTCAGTCTGACCTCTAGCGCTCTTCCCCAGGAAGAAATTTTACGCTAAGTGACATGACCTCAAACTCGACTTCCGATCTTTCTTCGATCAATAGCTCCTGGAATTCTAGAGATAAGACAGCGACTAAATTTCCTTGTATAGGCAATACATTGTAGATGACAGAGGTGTATGTTTGGATGAGCAAAGACTCCACATGAAAAAGAAAAAAATTGAATTCAAAAATACCCAAAGTGATTCACTAATTATGGGACAACCTAATAATTCATGAGCGCTGCCTTTAAGGATTTCTAGTCCTACCATACTCACCATATTCAGTTTCGGATCCGGTGCAACGGCATCGTTAGCGTTAACAATAGGAATGATGTTGAGCGAGAGAAGGCTTTCAATAGTCGCTTGCAAATTCTTACGCCGTTGAGGATCATCGATGTCTGGTTTTGTTAGTAAAACCTAAAATATTTTGTAGTCATCATGGCTAAAGTAGCACCGTCATCTGATCTAGGCAGTGAAACCCGGAACTTATCTCTTTGACCCTTCATAATATCAAAGAACTAGGCATACAGGCCGACACGAGATAACAAATTGCACGGCCACTGTGCCCTCGCCCCAAATCCACATGATCTTCACATGACCGCCATTGGAAAATAAGATTAAGAAAAGAAAATGAAAAAAGAGAGAAAGAATCACGCCGCGATGCCTTTTTAAATGTCCTTTCTGCAGACCTTTTCGAAAAGAACCGCAAAAACTTATCTACTGCATGGATCTTATGGCTATACTATTTCAACCCTTCATAGCATTCTGACTGGAATAGGAAGTAAGAACATCAATGTCGTACTGAACGTCCTCACCTGAGCCACAGTAATTCCGTACTGCTGAAAAAGCTGCTCATAAAGTGACATCAATCCGGGCATTCCTGATGCAGCACAAGCACGTTTGTCAGCAGTGATTCCAGCTGGACCTCTAAAGCAAAGTATGAACAGTCCGAATCCTTTCATTCTGTAATTTTTTTTTCAAAAAAAAATTATGCTGACCTCAGAGTCTGTCTCATACTCATACTCATGACGAGCTCTTGTCGCAACTTTTGCCTACCGAATGCTACGGCTCCCGATGAGACGATCAACATTTGACGACCGGATTGTTGCAGCTCGGCAACCTGAACGGTGTTGACAATCGTTCCAGATGCGCCACGTGTCCCATTTCCATTCGGAATTGTAGTGGTGTTTGAATGCGACAGGAGGTGCAGAACAGTTGGCGTTCTTATCCTCTCAGACGAGCCCAGTACAAGTCTTTCAATTCGAAAGGAGGCCGTCATAGGAGAAACTCGATCCAGGGTCTGTCCCATAAAAAGTGGTAACTGATACCATTTGCTCGAACAGCCTCCCCTTACTTTGACCATGGTTTCTAATGTGATTACAATGTGGTTTTAAAGTCCTTTTTATTATAGTTGTGTTGGCATTTATAAATAAAAGAAAATATACAGTTTTCTGGTGGCGCATGAACCCCTTTCCACTCGGAGACGTCATCATAAGTTGTTGAGGGATAGGTAGATATACAGTAGCGGTATGTCTTCGCCCTAAAGTCTTTTGGTGCTTCATTTTTGCTAGCCCAAAATAGTCTCCTCCAACTATTCATATGCTGTGTCTTTTTGTAGTTTTTAATCCTTGAGTTCCAAGGATATGGGGCATTGAAACGAAAAATCTTCAATCAGCGAATTTACACAAAAACATTTACAAAAAGCGATAGCGCACGAAAAACCGTTCCGATGAACCCTTTTGACCGCTACTGCACATTTCTGTGGAATTCCTAGAAAAATTCATTAAAGTTCCCCATCTTCAAAAGGTATCTTCAGATATGCAAAGCTAATCCCATCTAATACGACTTCTTAGTTCCCCTTTGAAGATCCAAGAAGCTGTCCTCGTTGAACCTTGACCAACTGACGGTTGACGGTGGCGACTTCTTCGGAGTATTCAATATTCTATACAGAAATTGATACTCAGCATAGCAGTCAGCAAGTGGTTATTTGATGCGGGCGGCTGTGTTTGTATGAGATAGAAATGGGATTTTGTAAGAAAAAAGTGACCTGTTCAACCACAGATGCCAGCCTGCCGAGTGCCAAGCCGCATTCATCCTCTCGAGTGATCACTGCGCTGCCTAGTTTAACGACTATCCTCTGAGCTTTGTGCAGCTCAGCTCTAGTATTAATCAGTAGATGTTGCTTTCGCGACTTGGTGCTGAAAAGTTATCTTTGAAGTAAGACTACGTACCTTCGGGGCTTACAAAAGGGTTTTTTTAGACGAGAAGATTTTCGAGCACCTGAAATTGCCATTCGAGTCACCCACAGGTACAACTCCCACGGATGCTATCGGTTCGACAGCACGAGCTTCTGAGACGGACACAGAAGACGCCTTCCGACTCAGTAACGTCTATAACACTAAGAAATCTACATCTATCAATTTCTACAAAGTGAAATCCAATGAGTGAACCTGATTGTTGACTGGTTTCGTTCTTGTAGTAATCAGGCGAAAGGATTGCAAAGTAATTCGACCAGCACGCAGCATAACTAAAACTGTTTGCGGTGCGATAAAAAATTGAAATGGTGACGACGTGAAAAGCGATTCAATTCAATTAATTATTCGTATATCGATTGGTTTATAGGTGACTTTATTCTGACTTTGTTACGGAATTAGCAACACGAAGGACAGGTTCTGAGTAGAGGAAGTGGAATGAACGTTGGAATCACAAGATAAGGTGAATCAGTCTAAAACTGATGATCAGCGAAGTTGATGTCGATAAGATTATCGAAGAAAGCATTCTAGCCTACGTGTGCGAAAGAGACAACGAACGGATAAGGTATCTAATTCGAGATCAATTGATTGTCGCCGAAAACTGATCAGACCTTCAGGATGTTCAGCAGATTTCTATGATGTCTATGGCTTCCTAAAGTTATCCGAGATACTTTTCTTACTAAGGCATGAGTTTTGTGAAAGTATCGTCAGATTTGACAATCGTAAAATATAAGGCAGAGTAGGAAATAGTTATTGCTTCACAAAACAACTAGGTAGTAAGTGTTACACTTTGTCAATAGGCAGCAGGTGAGTCGGTTAAACTAACAGTCAGTTATAAACTGACAGTCGGTTATACTAACAGACTTCGAATGCTTCTACCTACACATTTCATTCCAGGCCTGACAGAGGCGCTAAGCGCCGAAAGCTCGCCAAAAAGACCTAAACTTTTGCAAAACTTTTGCACTCACACTTTTTGCAATTTCTTTTTGTAAAAAGTTTTGAGTCTTTTGCAATAAATATTTGAAGTCTCACATTGTTTGTTACACATTAGGTCAAAATGAGACCTCGGGACAGGACAATTTTAAAGGAAATCGGAAAACAGTGAATCCTTAAAAAAACTGTTGATAGGAACTAGCCCTCAAATGACTAGAGAAAAGGGTTAGCGTCCAACCTCTCCCCCTCCCCTTCGGCAGTAACATGGTGAATCCAATTCTACCACAATACAGAGCTTCAAAATTTTACTCGGCAGACCTCCCTTCTACCCTTTATGCAATCAATCATGAGAACAACCATGTGCAGTACGCCACCACGCGAAAAATTATTGTAAAGTTCAATTTATTCAGCATTTTGCTAAATTACAATTTCAGCAGTATACTTTTTCAGACACAGAATATATCACATATTTGCATAGCGATTAAATTTTTTGATAAATTATTGGTTACTGATAAACAAAATGACAAAAACCTGCGGAGGTGCACACATAACGGCGGTCCGCAATGGGTTAAAAAATTCTTTACCCATAGAAGTAGCTTAAAAGCGCTAGTGCACGCTATCCATTCCCACTTGATTGAATAGATATACAGTGAATTAGCTCTACTGGTTATTAAATACTGCTATGATTTCGAATGACCTAATCGGTGCTGAGAAATCGGATTTGAGTAAGAAGTCTAGTAAGCAAAAATTAAGACAAAGCAGTTGGAAAGATTGCCTTCAATCTCAGTTTTAGGAAGGAAAAAAGGAAAATTCACTGACGATTGAAATACGCAAGAACGTTAAGATGATTGCTGCAAGATGTAAGGCTACGAACAGTATTCACGACCATCTCCAATCCTATCCCTATCTCACCTTCTTCTGCTTCACTTTAGCACTCACATTTCTATATCCTAAAGGATTTAAAGAGGAGTCAAATTAGAAACTTTGTTTTAGCGGAGTCAGGCCGTGTTCGAAGTTCTTCAGAAGACAGTCAGGAGTTATCAACGAATAACTGTGAACTACACCGTAAAAATAGGGAAGCAAAAGTCACAACGAAACAGGCGAAATGAACACCTCAAAAAGAGGATTTCGAAAAAGAAAATCGGATTTTTATTCTCAACCTTTCTGCAGCAGTGAGATGATGAGACTTCTTTCTGAATACTCAACGATCTAAAACACTTTCTGGAGTGAAGCGACATTGGGTGTAGTAGGGAGCGCATTGCTATCAGTCGCTGGTCAAGAACTGGCCGTTGCCCATTTTCGTAGGAGACGGAGGGCGACTACACATGCTGATATCACTGTCAGCCGACCTGAGCAATAATCGTTACACCATCAAAGTGGACCCTCGTCTTTCGATACGGTTTGGATCAACAAGAAGTGTCAACTGAAGACAGGATTGAGGGCATGTCTACTGAAGACGAGATTAAAGACTTGAGAGGTCTAGTACACGTGGGATTGGTAATAAAACTTCTTGCGTAGCACAAGTACGTAGCACTTACCGTAGGCTAAACAAAGATCAAGGAGCGGGAACGTACTTTAAAGTCTCAAAAGGGGTTTTCGTGACGGAAGCCGATGTTCGTGTTTTAGTGGAAGACAGCAAATTTCGATTCGACCTTTTTGACAATTTTGGCGAAATTTTCACGAAAATGAAAAGAAATTTCATGAATAACCAAAATTAGAGCTGTTGTCGTTTCCTTAGTCGTATCTATTCTGTCAGCCCTCCCCCCCCCCCCGCCCGACTGACAGCAGTTTTGGATGAAATTGTGATCGATCGTCTACAAGTCAAATCTTTTAGAAACAGCAATAGTGGTGAGGGCTGTGGTGGGAGTAAAGATGGGAAGGGGGTGTCGAGACCCCCGAAGAGAGAGAGGGTGTCGGAAAGAGTCGAAATCGGCAAACCGTAACGGTTGGCCGTCATCACATATAGGTGCTCATGCACCTGAAAAGGGCTACAAATTACAGAACAAATGTGAGCGGACTCGAGATCTGAAACTAAGAGTTCATCACAATTTTTTGAATGCGTGAAAGAAGAGCTCAAGAATCATTCTTAAATCATAGCTTCAAAGTAACTATCAATCTGCAGTGTTATTTCATTTCATTTATTGGACGTAGATTAATATCCACGTGGTATAATACCTACAAAACAATAGCAACACAATTATCAACAACTCGGCTGACGAGACAATGTAGTGGTCAAAAAGGATTTAGATAGAAAACTAAGAATGGAGAAAAGACAAACGAACAGGAAGCAAAATTCAATAAAACACGGGTCAGTTAGCGACTGTAGGAAAGACCCAGAAAGGTAGTATCTACAGGATTTCAAAGCTCCCTAGCAGGTAGAACAAGGCACGGACTGATAGCGTGAGTGACTGAAAGGACCTCGAGAGGCTTGCATTGCCTCTAGTGCCGGTAAGATGTTATTGAAAGGCTGGACGGTAGAGGTCTTGCACAACCAGAGCAACTGTCTCAAGCTATCCATCACTAATCGATTGAACCAAACCCTATGTAACAGCTTCGGGTTGGTGCAATTACGGCAACTTCTCAAATTCGACAGATGTCATCATATTCTGAAGAGTGGAGTGTTGTGAGGGAAGTGCTGTTTCTGCTCATG